TATAAGTGTGCTAGAGATATTTAATATTATCTCCAGGTTCTGGGCAGGGTTGAAGCTTTACATTTGAATCTTTGTAATGGATTTATAGCTTGAATACTAAGGATACACCTCTTGGAAGCTTATCTTCACGTACTGAGCTGGCTAGATACAAGTCAATGTGAATTTTTATAACTTAATGGATTTACCTGTGGCAGTGGTAAATCTGATGAAACAAATACCTTGTTTGATTTTGTTTCTCTTCACAGTAAAACCAATAAATTGGTTTTTTTCCCCTATAAAATAAGATTACTCCACTTTTAAAGAAAAAATGTTTCTCAGCAGTTTCCTGTAGAGTACAAGCCAAAAAGGCTGGTTTTACTATCAGACAGCATCTGCAACACCAGACTTTGGAAAACAGAAGTCAGGGCCTCCAGAATAATGGTATAGAATGAAAAAAAAAATGTTAAATGGTTTAATATATTAGGTATATTCCTTTCCTCTGTTCGTGTTTTCTGTATTCTCCATGCAAGCAGAGACTAAAAACTTTCTCTTTTAAAGGGAATTAGGTATTCACTTAATCAAATAACCCCAGGATTTGGAGCTTTAAAAAAAATGAATATTCTATGTTTCAAGAGAAAATTGTTAGATCTGACAACAGGTTGCAGCTTATGTCAGTGATGTTTCATTAAGTTATTTACAATACATAAAGCAATTACAATCCTCTCAAGGTCAGTTAAGAGCAAATACAAAAATAAGTAGGTGGTTCGACCACTCTCTGATCACCAGAGAAGAGAGGGAGAACAGAGAATAGGTATTTCCTTCTCTCTTCAACTGCACTTACCTATGACATCATGTAAGTGTGATTTGTTGGGAGCCATCTATACTGGGAGAAGTGCTGAGAGACAGGGAATGGAAATGCCTGGGATTTCTTTTTCCTCTTTTCCCACCCTGAACTTAATTTGCTTGCCTTCCTGAAGAAAAGACCTTGCTGTATCCTTTCTGCTGAGTCATTTCTCTAGAGCATGCCAATTTTAGGGACTCATTAGAAGAAATATCACTTCCTAAAGAGAATCCCAAGAGTGGTTCAAAGCAGTCTCCTTGTCCAAGCTCTTCAGCAGTAGTTTTATTCCATAGTTCCCTGGTACAATTATGTTTTTTCCTTTGGGTTAGATGTGCTGAGCAGTGACTATTTCAATTACACCTCTTGGATCCTGATGGTTATGTGGGTCTGGGACTTTGATGGGACTTTTGCCTTGTCTCTAGTGGAATGATCTTAATTCCTTCATTTGAGGGAAATACTGGTAGATTTTCTCACTTCAGCTTTCTTATCCTATATATATATATATGGTCTTTGAGTCAGATTTCTAGTTCTCTCAGGCTAATCCATTCAGATCAATAATAAACAGAGCTCCTCACCTCCAAATACACCTTTTTTTCTGTCTTTATATACACATGTGCCTTGATGACTGTTTTGGTGATACTATATTTGCTTCCTTACTGAAGACAGTTTGGTCTCCATAAGGAACAGATGCAAATATTCTAGATAAGGATGTATTGCCATTTAAGGATGTGACATTTCAGTTGGTTTATGCCCAAATAACATAATTTGTTACTAATGAGTCCTCTTTCCTTAGAATCACATATGACAAATGATTTTGCATGTCTGTTTCATGGTCAGACTTAAACTTGAGATCACTAGAACTGTGCATTTACTGCTCTAGAGTTTTCCTGAACTTTTATCTCCTGCACCTGGAGCTGTTCCCTCTGGGATGGGATTCATGGCAGGTGCTTGTGTGATACATAGTTATGGAATTGTTTGCCCATCTATCTGTGTTTTTCCTTTATGTCTCTAATGAGGAAGTTCCTAAATGGCATTTGACATGTTCTAGGGTGTGTGCATGGTAGCAGTTATAGTAACTCATTCTTTATTTTACTTCTGGTTGTATTCCTATCTTTAGGCTAACCCTCTCCTCCCTTTGCTGCTGCCCATGGAGATGGCTCCTTCCCTCCCCTCTGGTTGCCAGGGTGACTGGGCTTTCCTGATGCAGATGCTCTTGCCTTGGCTCCTTGCCATCCCTTTCCGGAGACTGGAGTTTTCACTTTCCCTCGGATGATGAGGACTCCTCTTGGCTCTCCTGCCTGTCCAGGCAGCTATTCTCTCTTCTAAGCAGATCTAGTTTTGCAACTGCTAAAAGGACAAGTGATTTAATGTGCCTGCAGGGTGGGATCAGCCAAGCCTCTGAACGAAGTGGAAATCACCTTGTATTATTTTTCCTTTTTTACTTTGACTCTGATATTTCTTCTTGAGCTGGAGTCTGGCCAGTTCTCACTCTCTTAATGTGGCTGTGATGATGAGGAAAAGGACCCTAGAGTGGTACATTTGCAGCAGAGGTAAAGCCTTTTTTATTTGTATTTCAGAATAGTTAAATTCAGTTTCTAGTTTTAGTGACATTGAAAAACAGATCCTTGCAGTACTTGTAAGCACATTTATGCATAGAGGTTTTGCCAAGCTTTAACTCGGAAATGGATAAACCTCTGAATTCAGGTGTGGAATTAACAGGTTGTTCAGAAACTTTATTGAAGGAATTTGACTGTTTCATGTCACTGAACAAACAGATATTGTGTGATCTTTATGTTCAGCCCAAAGAGCCAAAATTTCAGATTCTGCATGCCTGTCCCAGGTTGCTGGTAAACGTGGCCCTATCTTGGAATCAGTTTCAGAAGTCAGCCAGGGAACAATTTTGAGTTACAAATCAACGTAGAGTGTGATTTGCCTGGGTATGACTCAGACACAACCGAGTAGTATTTTTAGTTAGTTAAGTTCTCTGAGTTATTTGCCCAGTTTTAGCTAAAATCTTCTTTTGAGATCCCAATAAGAATATCTTATGTGCTACAGGCTAAGAATTTAGGGAAGGAAATTTAAGGAATGTTCCATCCCTAGGGATTGGAAAAAAGAGACTATTTAGTAGTTCATATTCTCTGCTTTTCCATAAGACATGAGTATTTTGTCTCATATATTCCCCTATGTTTTCTCTGGCATGATTTTAAATGATTCAAATAATAGGACTCTGTTCTGTGCTTCTGGGACATGATGACAAAGTGCACTTGACTAGTGTTGTAAGTGTAAATTATGTAATGTTTCCAAATATTTGGACAAATGTGCTCCTTTGCTCAAGTTCATCCTTCATCCTCTCCTCTGCACTTTAAACATTCCATCTTTTGAGCTTGTTTCCATCCAGTTTGCTTGTTTTTAAAGTAGTGATCTGTAAGCAGATCTCTGAGTAGCAATGTCATCTGTGTTTTATAGGAAATCCAGGTACAGCAGCTACACTGCAGCTACCAGATATAACCCTCAACATGCTTCACTTTGTAACATCTGGTTAATTATTTTTTAAAACACACAACATAGTACATCTAGCTGAGCTCTGAAACATTATGTGCTTGTTCTTTTGAATGAAAAGTATTTATAAAACCTTTTTCTGCAGTCATTGTGAAATTAAGATGAAATGCACTCGGCTACTTCCATTAACAAAGTTAGTAGGAAGCACTTGCTGGAGCAGAGTTTGTAATGTTTTTACATCTCGATGTAAGAAGGATGTTCTATATTTGAAGTGTTGGAAGAAGCGTTGGAGCAGTATTATAGATTTTCCTACCAAAAGTAATAGCCGTGGAAGGCAGCAAGAGCACCTTAATACTGAAAGGCAGTAGTCTTCCTATGCAAATGTAAGTCAATATTCAAGGGGTTAAATGGAACAGGGAATGATCTTAAATTTCAGCCTTCTGTGCAGTCCTTAGTTTTATTCAAAGACATCAAATATCACATATCCTCACCATGACTGTGCTGCTTTGAATTACTGCTTAAGCAGTAAAAATATATCCAGATTTTTGTCTTGTGCACGCATGCCATGCTGTGCTATAAATTAACAAATGGCTTTATTCACCAATATACAGTACTCTGAGGAGTGTCTCATCTTATAGCAGGGGTTAGGGCAGGGAGTTTCTTTGACCTGTATTTCCTCTACGCTTTTGGAAGGCCAGTTTTCAAATGAAGTGCAAGATTCATTAAAGAAATTAGTCAAGGTTATTTGATAAATTTGGACATTACTACATCTGAAATAACTTTGGATTGTTATTTTCTTCTGTTTTATTATTAAAACAACAAATCTTTAAAATGCTGAAATATTCACAACAGTGTTATAGGGAAGATCCTTCATGTACAATATAGGCTTGATTTATTTGCCCTGAGTTACTGTGAATTACTTACTTGAAAAGGGTTAGCAGTTCAGCTGGTATTTGGCATTACTCCTCCAATATGCACATATATATGTGGGCAAATACAGAATTCTATCAGCATGGAATTATGATTTTTGCAGCCACAGTTTTAAGTATCAGTGTCTGCAAAAATAGTTTGTGTATCTCTCTGACTTTAATCTTTATGCAGCTATTGAAATGCGATGTTATTCTGGGGGAAAAAGTAACGACTATTTCTTTCTCTTTAAAGACGTGACTTGGTTATCACAAGGGAAGATGTCCTGCTATTTTTAAAAGTAAAGATGTCAGAGGAAAATATTTCTTTAGCTAATGTGTCCAAATGAGAGATTGCTTATAACTAGAAAGTAAAACACCTTAAAGAGAAAGCTCCACAATGTGATTTTTAGACTCCCAGTGTTAACAAGTTAATATAACTTACACTAACAACTGCTTCTTAAGAAGGAAAAACAATGCTGCATTACAGAGCTGCAGGGTCTTTTCTGTCCTGAAGCTCTTTCCTGTATTTTAGCTGACAATTAGTAAAATATTTTGTTCACATTATTCTTAATTGACTCTCACTTTGAAACTAATACAAGTAATTTAAGCCATTCTGGCATTTTCTATTATAGACCATTTCATTACCAATGACAGTTTTGAACATCACTATGGATTTTCTGTACCTTTTTTATCCTTTTAATGATTTATACCTAGCAGGACAGACAATTTTCTTTTACTTCTGTAGTTAGAACAGTTAAAAAGGACTTACTTACCCTGTCTTCTTCAGCTCTTAAGTCTGGCATTGTGCTAACACAAAGGCTTATAGCTGTGGTGGCCACAAAAAGAATGGAGAGACAAGCAAAGACTTTGCCTGGGAGTCCTGACTGGGGATTTTCTACCATATCTCTGAGTCTGTTCATAAACTGTCCAAATTTAGTTTTATCATCCAAGACACATGTAGCTTCTTTGCTCCTCCGGAGCTCCTCTTCTTTGCGTAGCTCAGCCAACTCTTGCAGTCTTTGAAATAGTTTTCGAAAGCAGCAGTTCTCCAGGTTGGATTCCTCAATCCCCCAGTATCTCAGCTCCTCCTGAAAAGACAAGGCACACATGTCTCTTAAGAGCATCAGCTTCCCTGCTGCTAGAAAGCTGACAATCATTCCAAAAACATTGGGATTCCTGTCAAAGAAGAACTCATGGGTGTCTTCATCGTAATCATCACATAGCTGAATTATTTCTTCATAGCTGCTGCAAAACTTAAGTTTGCTCAGTCTAGTCAGGGGGAATTCATCTAAAGTACTCCAAGGTAGCAGGTACTTGATGCCTCCAACATTTATCATGATCTCTGTTTTTAGATCAACTGCAGAGACTTGATCAGGATGGTAAATCCTCCTGGCTCTTTGGTAATGGACCCCTTTGACAGAAGGAGTTTCAACGGAGACAGGAAAGAAGCGGCTCAAGGAATTACAAGAAGTGTAGCTAATGTTACTATAGTCTTGGTCACTGCCTCCGGAGAGAATAGGCATCTCTAAGAGTTCTCACTGGGACATCCGAAATGGCATCAGAGCAGGGTTATCTGTCAGCCAAAACATATGGGAAGGAGGAGAAAACAGCAGAGGTTATTGCAAGAGAAAAGGTGTTTCAGGCTACTTTCCTAAATCACAAAATTAACGAGTGGTTGTTTTGTAAGTAAAAGTCACCTCTATGCTTCTTCCTGAAATCTGCAGCCTGTGAATGCAATTTGCTTTTCAGCCTCATTGGTTGTCTGGCAACACACAGACACAGAGGAGAGCTAAAGCCTCATTCATAATTATCGCGAAGGCTCGGACTCCTGCAAATCCAAATGTGAGCAGATCAGATTCTTCTCCGAGCAGATCTCTAACATCGTTAGATCGTTGTATTTTCTGGTGGTTGTCGCGTTGCTTTTCTATTTCTATAAACCCTTAAATACACACTAACTCAACTAAGCTGCTTAATAGTTATTAGAGTTAGAGAGGTCAATTACCTGCCATCAGCTGGATGTGAAGTTCTTAATTGCTTTAACTTGAATGCTCAGATTGCCTTTCCTCTTCCTTTTCTGCACGCCTGTTTTGCCTGCCTCTCGGGGGTATTGCAAGGATTAGCTAGTAGATGTTTGTAAAATGCTTTAAGAGGTAAAGTGACGTATAAATGATGACTATTCTTATCAACCCAGTCTCATGTCACTACAAATTACTGAGAAGATATAGGGAACACTTGCCCACCCTGGAGAAAACTTTGTTAAACAGACTGAAATCAAAGTATTTCATCAGCTGCAGGGCAGAGAGGCGCAATTAAGATACGCCTCTTCAATTCCCCCTTTCAGGAACAAACCCCTGGTTTTCTTCATAATCTCTAAAGATTCAAAGGCACTTATTACCCTACATCAGTGAACTGCAAATATTGCAAGGAAACTTGCCCAAAGTTACTTACCACCGTGCCATGGGCTGCTGCCCGGTGCCTGGCTTCCCCGCAGGTGAAGTACACGTGCTGCAAACTGATCAGCTGTGCTCTGAGTTACAATCCAGCAGAAAGACCTGGGGATATTTTACAGTATTGATTACATGAAAAATCCCTCTCGCATTCTGGAGGTTGCAGTCTCTTTCCTTTTTCTCTCCTTCTTCCCTGGAAAAGGAAAATGTTCATATGTGTTCATATAATATATGTTGTACTAATAGATCCTTGGCGAAGGAGACAGTGTCCTAAGTGGCAGCTCCTCTTCTGGACTCCTGGGGCTTCCTGGTGAAATATGCTGAGTGAGAGCTGGTGGATCCTGCCCTCTCCCGATGTCTCTCCTCTGTTTCCCTTGGGACTGTCAGTGTGGTCCTGGAAGAGGAGGGGAGAGGGAAGGGGGAAGGGCTTAGAAATAATCTCTCCAGCATCCCTCTGTCTATTCAGCAGGCAGCAGGCAGTAACTGGATAAGAACATGGAGTACAAGAACAGTCTCCGACTAATGAGGTTTGATAATAAGTAAATTCTGGCAAACCTACTTACTAAACCAATTTCAGTGTCTATTAACTCCTTCCATTGTAGTTGTATCACAGTTACTTGCTCTGGAGACACGAGTCAAATTCCTCAGGAGCAGTTTCCATGCCCTGCATCCCACTTGAAATTGGGATTTGCTCTTAAATATCCCTAGAAAGAGAGGGAAGTTGGGTCCATGAATGCTGGGCCTCAGCATTCCTTTTGCCACTAGGGACTTGCTTCCTCCCATAAAAGAAAACATCTCTCTCTGGCTTGCAAGGAATAGGTGCTAGGCACTCTCTTTTCCAAATCTGCAGTGTTTTTCCAACAACCAACAACTTTCTCCTCTCTTCTTTACAGCTGATGTGAAATCAAACATAATCCTTTTCTCATTTCTCTCGTACATGGCTGTAGGGGGGGTAAGCTTGCTGTAATGCTTTTGGGTTCCGTACTGCTAGGAGGTCTTGAGCTGCCTCAGTCTAAAACTGGGCTGACATAGATTTGACTCATATTACACTTGCTTGACCTCAGTCAGTGGGTTCAAAAATCCTACAATCAGATCCTGTTTACAAGTTTCCTTCTGTGGTCCTCCCAAATGCAGTCAGAAATGCCTTGGCTTATGTCTATACCTGGTGTGGCTGAAAGCACTGAACCTGAGTCCTATCGCTTAGAGAAGTGTGTGAGTCTGTAGGACTTACAGGTCTCACTGGGAGTGTGAAGGTCATGTGGAGAAATGTTTCTGGGTTTGGATCACAGAGCTGCTTTTCTGCCATTTGCATGGTGGGTACAAGGTGCAGGTGGTGCCTTTGCTTGCACTGTGCTCCTCACCCTTGTGATGTGCTTGGGTCTGGGGCACTGCTGAGCTGATGCACCTCAGAAGCAGACGCTGCAGCTTTTTATCAGTGCTGAGCAATGCTATGGCACAGCCTAGGGTGGGAAGTCTTTGCTAATTGGACTTTTTGGCACATCTCTCTTGGCCCACGTGGTATTCAGAAGATTAACTTCTTATCAGGCTTCACCACTGGGGGTTTCACTCAAGTCCTAATTATGCCTTCCACAGAGAAAGACCAGATAGATGCCTGAAGGCAACTGAATTCTGGGGGAATAGCTCAAAATCACTTAAATCCTACCACCTTTGTGCAAGATGTGGTTTGCTCTGCCTATCAGTCTTTCTTATGGATTAATTTGTGAAGAAAAAGCAAACCTATTCTAATTAACTTTCAGTGGATTGTTTCACAAAAGGATAAAACCAATTAGCATTTCCTTCTTACCTTGTGAAACCCTTGTGTGGTGCTGTTAGAGTTTATATTTCTGAAACCAGCTGATGAGAAGGGGGATAAATCTAAAACAATGAGTAAATATTGTATGTAATTGAGTAAATATTGTATGTAATTGAGTAATTTGAGTGTTATACTTGTTTATCAAGAAATATATATATATATTAATGTTTAAGACTTCAGCTCCAACACTAGGCACCCTAATATTTGCTTTATTGGGATCTACAGCTGTGTCTGTAGTTAGATCAGGACCTCATTGCCAGCTAGAACCATACAAGTATCTGTCAGTCAGTCCTTCAGAGTCTTCCAACTTCAAAAATGAGACAGAGAAAGGATAGAAATATTTTTAATATTAATTTTATTAACAGGAGATGAAGGCACAGGAAGGAGAAATACTTTATTTGGTGTCTGAGGAAGCCAGGCTCTGAACCTAGCTCTGAAGATCTTAATCATGTAACTTGCCCCTAGAGCTGTCCTTCTGCTCTGGCCAGTCTCTGCCTTCTGCCCTCCTGCTGCCTCCTACTACCATGTCTGTATGACATTCTCCTTAGTAGTGGAATATCTAAAACTATTAATGCTGACACCACAAATTGAAATTTCTCCCCAGGTGGGAAAGGTGTATTCGTGGCTCTGACCTCTGCTGACTTGTTTTTTCACTTCCCCTCCCCCCGCCCCGTAACTTCTGCTGTAGTTTTCCTGCTAAATTCCCTTTAGATTTGCCCTATTCAGTATGAAGTTCATAACCTTGACTCTCTTTTTCTGTTCTGTATTTCCCTTACAGTTTCTGGAATTGCACTCTTCTTGCTTCTTAGCCATCTGGTCGTATCAGCTTCTTTGCCAGTCCCTTTATGCCTTGAATGCAGTTTCCATATGCTTCATTTATTTGTCGGTATGGATGACATTCCTGTCTCCTCCTGTGGTTTGCCCCGTTTTGCTATTTTGCTATTCTACTGTAAACTGGTTTAGACCTGCCTCTCGCATCCCCTGTGTATGATGAGGGCAGCAGGCAACTGCTGAGAAGAAAGCTGAGCAGAAGATGTAGTTCTTGCCCAGGTGGCTCCAGGGACAAAGCAATAGTTGTACTGCTCTCAGCTGGACTAACCCTCACTCTATGTAAACCAAGGTTAAAGCTTCAATCTAGGCTGTATGGTAAATGATATTGTAATTCTTACTGAATTAAAATTCAAACACACAGAGCAGAAATCTACTAGACTGTCTTGAAACCTTGTGTGTATAGCGGCGCAGTTATCACCATGTCCCAGTGACATGCACAGGAGAATCTGCTAAGAGACATCCATAACAGTGAGGAGATTTTTCTTAGATAGTTTAATAATGAAATCATTTGCAGGGCTGTTATTTAGAAATTGATAATAGTTAAATGCTGTAGAAAATGGGAAAGCCAGTGAATGTCACTGGCTTTAATAACTTGCTTACCTGTGGTTTCCCCTCCTGTATTTTGTTCTCTGCTTTTATGTCAGAATCCTGTCTCAAGCAGCAGATACATACAGAAGAAACAAGCAATTTTTTCACCAAGTACATAATAAAACTGTAGAATTTATTGACACATGATGTTGTGGTGGCCAAAAGTGTAAAGTATTCAGAAAAGGACTTATGCATGAAAGGTCCACCAGGTAGATCCCACATCTGGCATGGAAAGTCAGTAACCTGCATATTGCTTGGCAGGAGGGAGATATTTTAGTGAAAATAGGACAATGTATATGCTTTCCCTGTTCTGTTTTTTCCTAGATTTTTGATGGGTGATGCACATGGGGGCTGCACAGATCTTGGTGTAACCCCGTGGAGATGTTCTTATGCTGAGAAACCTGAGGAGGGTGGCCTAGGCTCTACTAGTTTGGTCATGCATTTCTGGGTTGATCATGCACTACGTACCTGACAATATTTCTCTACCAGAACAGCACAAAAACCAAAACCAAACAAAACAAGAAAACCCCCAAAACCCCCCCAAAAAAAACAAAACCAAAAAAACCCCCAATAAAAACACAGAAAAACCCCCAAACCACTGGAGATGAAACTCTTGATTATATATGTGTGTGTGTGTATATATATTCAATACTAATGATTTCTATATATAATGGGCAATCTCACAAAGGGGTAGACTGTACGCTCTGAAATTGTATGTGTTTGTAGGTCTTCCAATCTTCATTCTGCAGAGAGCAAGCATGTAATTTAATAAAGGCACTGTTGTCAATCTTCCTTCCTTCCCAACTGGGCTTTTTGTAACGCTTAAATATAATACGAAGGTAAT